AMAYRGACTGACTCACATAGACTGACTTACATAGCATCACTCCACACACATACAATCGTGAGATGGTGGGGTCTGAGCCATACAGAGAAGATGCTCAGCCCCGTACACGACATACACAGATGAATGGGGGAGGAGAGACGAAGGAGGTGGGGCAGGTAGACAGCACTCAAAGTCACCGAGATAGAAATCTGATAGGTCACCGATATGGTAGTCCAAAATGTCATCCAACAAGATCAAAATGTCGAGGACCATAGGTCACCAATGTCGGAGATACAGAGTCCAAATGTAACCGGTGTMCGAACTGTGATGTCGCCAAGTATCAACCCCAACRATCTCCAAGTCTCCAATCCGGTAAGTACCACAGTCTCCTATCACCGAAGTCCAACTCTGATCTCTGTCCAACTAGTATAGTCTCCAATCTGAAGAAGAAGAAGAAGAAGAAAAAGATGAAGAAGGAGGAGGAGGAGAGAAGGTCGGGCCTTTAGGCCCTGATGTGTCCCTCCGGCCCTAAGTCGGGTCCGGTAGGACCCGTGTGCGTCGAAGATGTAACAGTAGTGGTTGTCATCCATTGCTGGGAAGCTACACCTGCTGGAAATGGGGTCCAGCATCCCCGACAGGCCTACTTACAATGGCAAACGTGCGGGGTTCACTCTTATATTATTACTAATAACTTGTAATAAGTAGTAAGTACTATTTTCTTGTTTTTATTACCCCCCCCCCGCTCCCGGCCTCACCTTAGAAAAGTTGCACCCTAAAATTTGTTCTACAAGGTACCCTGCACCACTTAGCTTATTTCCCACTCAGTTTCGAGTCGCACATTTATCTCCCTCCCTACCATCTTAACCCGAAAACAAGGTACGTACTACGTACCTTGCATACGAATACAAGGTACCCTGTCGTCTTAACCCGAAAACAAGGTATGTACTACGTACCTCGTATACGAATACAAGGTACCCTGTACCTTGTATTCGTATACAAGAAAGTCAGACTTTCGGCTTCGCCCTCTTCGTGTCCTGAGGTTGCCTGGAAGTCCACGGGGGAAACTGGTCACTTGATCCAGTGAAACCCCGCCAAATACGTAAGAGAACTCAAAGCAAGTAGAGTTAGTGAACTGTGTAATGGGCAACTAACTATTTCGCACATAGGTTCGGAGGGCACTTCAGCAAGTCTGTGCAAATCAGATTGAAGTTTTGACCCCTATCCTTCTTGTAGCACGTACCTTGTTTTCGGGTTAAGGCCGTAGGGAGAGAGATAAATGTGCGACTTGAAACTGAGAGGGAGAGAAGATAAGTGGTGGATGCCAAAATGGATCACAAAGGCAGAACAGATCTGGCGACCAGCCTAGCTCAGTTGTTACGCCCACAAACTGTTGAAGTACAGACTCGAGTTAAAAAAAGACACACACAATCAGATGCCCAGAATAACAGATCTGGCAAACACCTTTTTCTCCTTCCACACAGTTCAGATTGCAGACAAGGAGGTACCGCCACTCTTTCTTGGCCCCAACGCTGGATCTGTTATTTTTTTCTTCTTTTTTTTCTTTAAAAAAAAAAAAAAAAACAGAATACGGTTCTGCGTCCTTTCCATTCTGGGGAGCGTCAGTCCGGTTCCTATTCCACCGGCAAGTCAAAGAATTACATCAGTTACACACCAATGCTCCTCCCCATTGTGGATGAGAGGCCCGACTGGACGGCATTGATTACTTCCTTTGGGAAGGATGTACCACCCCTCGCCCCTGCCTAAGTTAGCCTATTTGTTAAAACCTACTGGAGCTAAACTTAGACTGCCTGTTAAAAAAACGTTTAACCCCTAAAGATTTCCCTACTTAGAGGCCTAACCTTTTTTTCCTCTCTGACTCTAAGCTGGCAGGTTATAGCTATAAGATCAGGACGTGAATGATGTGTCATATGTTGTCCACATTCTAAAACCCTAAACCCTAAGGACTTGACCTTAGGTTCTACTGGCTGTCATGCTAAAACTCTACGCTTATGTGTGTCCTATTCTTTTATGGATCTAGGAAGCTAGGATCTTGGTAATGCTCAGTTTCCAGACAATGGTGATCTTTAGTCTACCTCTTCGTCTTGCTGTAACTTCTTTAAAGTTGTTCGGTTGTTGTGTGAGGTGGTTGGGAGGGGTGGTGGAGAATGAGGGGGTCTGTGGGATGGTGAACATATTGTGATTCTGAGACGAGGGGCTTAAGACTATGGGCTAGGGAAGGGGATGCGAGGCTATTTGTGATAAGGATGGGACTGTGTTTCAGTTGGAGGGAACGGATTTAGTTGGTGCTGGGAATATATGAGGTGTGTTGGTGTACGATGTGGAGAATCTCAGGTGTTTTCCTCTTCTGCTGTGATTAGTTTGTGTGTGGGTGGGTTGGATTGGGGGGTGTCTTGGGGTGTGGGCTGTGTGTTGTTGGGGTTTTGGTCTTGGCTGGTTGTTGAGGGCCAGATTAACCAATTAGTGAATTTTATTGTGTCTCGTTCGATTGAGCCTAATTTGCCGCTGCCTATCTTGCCGAATGAGAATCTTTCAATGATTTTTTTTTTTTTTGTCTGGTAGAATCTGGATTTGCTTTAGTTTTTTTTTCCATAGTGCGAGAATTTCTGTTTCACTTATCTGTTCGATGACAATTAGGGGTGTTTCTGAGGGGATGTGGTGGTCGTCAAAGGTTAGACGGCAACGCCTTTTCCATATGGCCCATAGGGTGCCTTTTCTGATTAGAGAAAAGAGGAAGTAGTCGAAACCTTTGAGTGTTGGGGATTGATCTGAGTGGAGGAGCATGGTGGAGGGGTTTACGAGTATGTTTCTGTTGGATAGCGTATTCCATGAGAGTTCTATGTCTATTCACAACTGTTTTGCGTGTTCACAATCTAAGAAGCAATGATTGAGAGATTCCTCGGATTGTGTATTACATACCCTGCACCAGGTTGACTGATCTGTTCTGCTTTCCTTCTTCTCTGGGCTAGCCATTGGTTTACTGGGACTGCTCTGAATGCTATGAGCCAGAGGAGGCTGACCAGTTTGACTGGTCTAGTGCCAAAGATTGTGGGCCAGTGGGGGTGCACAGTTGTTCCCTCAAGAGTGATCTCGTGCCTTTTCCATCTTTTTTTAATTATTGTTGAAATTGGCCGAGGTTTGTTGAATCGTTTATATCCTAGTCTGGGTGTGTAGTCTGTTAGGGCATGTCGCCTTGCTGCAGCGAAAGTCTACTGGGGGTGCTCCATGACCATTCTTGGGGGTCTATTTCTAAGTGTTGTATTGCTGTATCCGGCTGTACACTCTGTTTCTATGATTCTAACAATTCTGAGTGTGTCTATTCTGAAGGTGCCTTCTGCTCTAGGGTCTCGCGAAGTAAGGCTTGCAGGGTTACCCGGCTCCTCTAGTGTAAAGGTGGAGCAGAGGATCCATTTATTGTGGTGAAGTTCTGCTTCTAATATTTGAAGTACGTCCTGGGGTTTGCCCTTGGTCTGTTGTTGCAGCCCAGTCTCCCCAAAGCCATTGTTGCTTATTTTTCAGCAGTTTTCTCCAATCTATGGGGATGGAGTCTATGATGAGAGATAAGTTAGAATATAGGTTATGGTTTCCTTCGAGTTTCGCTCTTAATTCTCCCACTGTATTCCATCTGTTATTCGCTTCATTCCACAGGTGCCGGATTTGCCATACCCCTTTTTCCAGCCATAGGCCCCATTTGGAGTTTGTTTTGTTGAGTGAGAGGGATTCCCCGTTTTCGTCCAGGATCCATGGGTTGCCAAATAGGAGATGTCTGAGTACTTCGTCCCTCCTTTTTGGGCCGACCTTTCTATCAGAGAAAATTCTTCTCCACATATGTATTAGTTGTTCCCAGAAGGTTTTGGGGGAGTCATTGGCTTCCTCTTCTTCTTGGCTTAGTTCATCTTTTGTGGATTTCTTGGTTCTTGGGAGGGTCCACTGTTTATTGAAGATCCAAAAGAGGCCTGACATATTATGGGGTGATTTGAAGGGTGTCAGCTCTCTTAAGTGAAACAGTGCAAGTTGTATCCAGGGTAGATTGCCTCGAAGGGTAAGCCTAATGATCCATTTGATACGTAGGGCTTGAATCTGGCTAGCCAGATCTATGATACCTAATCCCCCTTTGTCTTTGGACTGAGTGACTATTTGCCAGGCTACTTTGTGAATGAAGCGATGATTGTCTGGGTTTACGGTCCAAAGGAACTCTGAAGCTCTTTTTTGTATTTGTTTTTGGAAGTCTGGGGATGGGAACCATGTGGTGGTTATGTACCACATCATTGCTAGTATTGAGTTGCTGAGAGCTAGTGCCCTGCCGAGGAGTGAGGTATGTACGCCTTGCCAACAGTGCATCCTGTTTATCATTGAGAACATAAGGGAGGCAGCCGAAGATGGATAACAGCCTTTCAAGCTAAGGTTTATACCCAGGAAACGCATGGGGGAAGAGGGATCAGCCCATTGCATTCCTTCTGGCGAGATTTCTAGAGGGGGCTGGGTGTCTGATAGCCAGCAGCCTACTGTTTTCTTCCAGTTCACTTTCATTTCTGACGCTAGTTGGACTGCTTGCATTGCTCTTATTAATGCGTGAAAAGAAGAATCAGAAGCTCTGATGAGTACTGTTAGATCGTCTGCGAAAAGGAGGGTGGTCGGTAAATGAAGTGGGTGACCTCTTTCATCTTTGATGCCCTCTAAACGTTCTATGGATTCATCATTTATGAGGAATGATGCAATGGCTTCCATGACAAAGAGGAGAATAGGTGCAGCCAGAGGGTCTCCTTGTCTTACGGATCTGGTCACTGTGTAAGGGTTGGATAGGAATCCTTTGACTTGGACTCTCACCCATTTTTGAAAATTTGGACCTATCCCCATTTTCTCCATGCAAGCTTGTAGGAAAGACCAGTTGACTTTATCATAAGCTTTCTCGAAATCAACGTACAATAGGGCTGCTGTAATTTTCTTTTGATTCAGGATCCTTGTGGTTTCGCATAGGGTCATGTCGAGGATGTATCTACCTGGGATAAAGCCCGTTTGGTCTATGGAAACAGGTATTTGTTATACGGTTTATCCTTGTGGCTAGTAGTTTGGCTATGATTTTGTAGACTACGTTTAGCAAGGAGATGGGTCTGTAATTTCGGATATCTTCTTTGTTTCCTTTCTTGTAGAGAAGGGTGACGGCTCTGGTGCTCAGGTCGGGACCCAGGGATTCTTCTTCCCATGCTCTGTTGAGGAAGCGAAGGAAGAGGGGTTCCAGGATGTGCCAACTCTCCATCCAGAATTCCTTGGAGAGACCATCTTTGCCCAGTGCTTTGTTGGTTTTAGGTCTTTAAGAGCTTTCAGTCTGTCTGTTGAATCTTGTGAGAGTGAGCGTCCTAGGTGAGAAAGGAATTTAAAACTGGCTCTAGGAATTTAAAACTGGCTCTGACTGATTCGTTAAATCTGGCTCTGACGGTTATCTTAGTGGGAATTCTCTTCTTTTTTCTTTTTCCTAAAGGGCAACGACCTTGGGATATCATCGTGAACACGACCGCGCCCCCAAAGGTTATTCAAGAATTTTGTTCATCTAGGATCTGAACTCAGGTCTGTATTTCAACAGTTTATGGGTGTACCAACTGAGCTAAGCCCAGTCGGAATTCTCTTACCATTGGGAACTTAACACTTACGTTTTTTTTAAGATTTTTTAAAGATTTTCAATGCTTATGGTTTATTTCACTCCTTTCATTTATACTCTTAGAGTCTGAGTGCGATTGCTATAATATGTTGTCACATATCTATGAACTAAAAGAGTGCACTTCGTGAAACAAACGGTAAAAATAAACATAAAAACAAAACCAATATGAGGGCCACACTGAAACCTTAACTACATTATTAAGACAAATTGAACCGAAAAAGAAAAGCACATGGTGAACAACAAGGAAACAAATCTCACCTGTTATGCCAATGACTGGTCCAGTAAAGCGGAGGCGCACTGATTTCCCAAGCGCTTGGAGTGCGTCCAGAGTATCAGAAACATGAACAAACCCTCTGGTCCAGCCAGCGGGCATCTGGCAGCCAATTGCCCCAGCACTGTGCAAGAATGACCCCCGACACAAATACAGACAAAGCGCGTATGTACGAGGGAGGGTCAGAGGAAGTGGGAATGGGAATTGGAATGGGAATGGGCCTAAAGCAGAAGTCAGGGCCTGGGAAGGGGTGGAGAGTAGCCAGATCAACAGCAGGGAATGAGACGGGGCAAGAGGGGAGAGGAAGGGTGAGAAGGGGGGGGGGGCAAGGAGAGGTGCAAAAGGTGGCAAGAAGCAATGAGAAGGGGCGAGAGAAGGCGAGAGAGCGCCAAAAACGACAAGAGACAGAAGCAGTGGACATAGCAGGAGGAGAGACCGGTACAAAGAGTTGGCAAGGGGTGTCAGGGGGGGTGAAAAAGGGAGAGCTAAAAAGCGATGGGAAAGGGCTGATAGCAGGTACAAATAGGGCTGGGTATGAATGAACGAAGGGGGAAATAATGCAGAGGGAGGGGTGCAAAGGCTTGAAGAGATACAACCTGAAAGACGATGAGATAGGGGTCAAAATGGTTGAGAAAGGCTGAGGGGTAAAGGGCTATTCAAAGCTGTAAAAAGGCTAAGGAGAGGTGGTGAGATGGGGTATAAACGGCGAAACAGAAAGAATAAGAAGGGGTGAGAAGGAGTAAGAAGGGGTAAGAAGGGGTAAGAAAGGGTGAGCGATCAGGAGGAGGAGAAAGTGGGGAAAGAAGTGGGAATCCTACACACTAATAAAACACCTATTTCAGTCCGCTACAATTAACTTGGGATGTCCTTCGGGATATCTGTTCAAATTGGAACGATACAGAGAATGAAGATTAGAATGGCCCCTGCGCAAGGATGACAAGCATAAATCGAGAAACGGTCCAAATTTTTATAAGGATAAAAAAAAGAATTAACTTGGGATCCATGTCTTACATTTGCAATCCTTGTGATCAGTTGCCGACAGTTGGTGAAACCAACCGATCAGTGGCCAATTCAAACCATTGGATCGGCAGCAACAGACAGGCCCAAATTGGTCGTGAAACAGAATTTGGAGCACTCAAGGCCAGCGCTGCACGGCGCTGTGGATTGCCGTGGTGCATTGGTGAACTGCAAACTTTCCATTTCCCCCCAACTCATTTTCTATGTTAAACGGGGCATGTGGGCATACGAAGACTTTTATCTCCTGCTGCATGGCAGTGCCTTTCTTTTTTTTTGCTTTTTTCTTTTTTTTCTTTTTTTTCTTTTTTCTTTTTTTTTCTTTTTTTAATTCTTTTTCTTTTTTTCTTTTGCTCTTTTTGCGGTGCCTTCCTTTTTAAATGGTCATGTGCTGAATTGATGTGCATGAATAATGCAGGGCTGCGCACTGTCTTTTCTCGGTTAAAACTCCAAGCTAACTTCCCGCCCCACCTCTGCCCCAGCCTCGGATCAGCCCTGGCCAAGCCTCCTCCCGGCCCGACCCCTCCTCAATCCCACCCCAGCCCCAACTACCCTTTGCCTCAGCCGCATCTCCCTCCCGCCGATGCCCCACCCAAGTCCCGCTCAAGCCCTGCCACAGCCCCACCTCCACCCCGCTCCAGCCTGCCCAAGCCCCACCCAGCCTGGCACTTGCATATCCCTTTGGATCATTGTCATGCGATTCTCTTTCTGGATTAACTGTGCACTCCACATTGAACATAAAGCAAGGAGAGGTGGACTGATGAAAAGAAAATGGTATAATGCACAACGCAACATGCTGGAAAGACAGTGGGAAAGGGTGGGTTCACACAGGGGGAGCAGAAGTGGTGGGGGGGGGGGTTCTTCAACACATTTGCTGTTCTTTTACAACGAACGAGTTGTACCAACGAGCCTAGCTCAGTTGGTACACACACGAATTGTTGAAACACAAGACCTGAGTTCGAATTCCAATCGAACCAGATGAGTGAAAATAACTCTGAATTTACCTGGGGCCAGCCAGTTCAAAGATAATATATCATGGTTGTCGCCCTTTTCAAAAAAAGAAAAAAAAAGAAGAAAAAAAGAAAAAAAAAACGAACGAGTTGTGAGCTTTTTTACCCCAGATGTACTAAGGTGGAGGAGGGATAAAGGGAGCGAAAGAGGGTAGGGAGACCAAGGACGAGGACGGTGAGGGTCCTTTCTTCCCTGTTCAGACTCTTTCCACTTCAGGCATGGAGAAATGGAGGTGGAGGACCAGAATGATGCCAAGGAACGGCTGAGAGCTGGGGAAGAGGACAAGGGAGGTAAGTGTTTTTTCTTTTCTCTTTCATTTTTTGTGCTCAAGGAGGAGAAGTGGTTAATTTTTTTTTCTTTATTTCTTTTTCCAAGTGCTCTCTGCAGTCGAACCCACAACAAGCCATCGAGAGTGTGTGTGTGTGTGTGTGTGTGTGTGTGAGAGAGAGAGAGAGAGAGAGAGAGACAGAGACAGAGACAGAGACAGAGACAGAGACAGAGACAGAGACAGAGACAGAGACAGAGACAGAGACAGAGACAGACAGAGAGAGAGAGACAGAGACAGAGAGAGAGAGTGCAGGAGGGAGGTGGGATGGGAGAGAGGGGGAGATGGAGGAGAGAGGGAGGTGGGGTGGGGACGAGAGGTGGAGGTGGAGGTGGAGGTGGAGGTGGAGGAGAGAGGTTGAGTACAAAGGGTGGAGGGAGGCGGTGAAGGTGGGTTCTGTTGTGTGTTCAAACGAGTGACGGCAATGGTAATTAATAATCACTAAGATGACCTGTTGTGACTTCTCCCACCAAAAGAAAAACACCTTAACAAAAAGAAGAAAATTGCCCTCTCTCTCTCTCTTACGTGGATCGTAGTCAGCCACCAGCGTGGTCACATGCATGCATTATCTCCACACATCCAAGAGAGAAAAGAAGAGCAAATGAGTTGATAG